CCGCCCTGCTTGCCTTTTTCCCGCCCTGCTGCATGTCCCGCTGCTTTTTTCCCCCCCTGCCGCATGGTCCGCGGCCATTTTTCTGCCCGTGCCACGTGGTCCGCGGCCGTTTTTCCGCCCTGCTGCATGGTCCGCGGCTGTTTTTCCGCCCTGCCGCATGGTCCGCGGCCATTTTTCCGCTCTGCCACGTGGTCCGCGGCCATTTTTCCGCCCCTGACACGTGGTCCGCAGATGCCGGAACAGATTAACGGTAATTACATTGAACCTTATGGGAAAATTTGCTTTGGGTTGCGACCACATTGGGTAGCAACCAGAGTCACGGGACGGATTAAGATTGTAACCCGAGGTACCACTGTATCTTTTAGTATAAACTATTGGCAAAGTATAATCAGAAATCATCTACCTATTTATTTGCTGGACACAGCTAGAATAAATCTGTTAATACTTTAAAGCCATATTTAAGAAAAAATACTAAAATCAGGTATTCTCATGAAGAGGACTTCTATTCCACTTAAGTATTTTGTATGTCTCCAGAAAATGAATGATAAGCTTTGATACTTTTGAGAGAATATATAGATCAATTAATCCAAAATCCACAGAGACATGTGCCATATGGTAAAAGATGTCAGTTAAAGTCAAATAGGGTAGGACTATTTAGTGATGACAGGAAATAGATCTTCACGTAATATAAAATGTGTAGTGATACAAAGGTCTCCTCCTTCCTGAATAGGATAGAATTTGTAGCCGAATGGCCAAATTTAGTATTTTCTTTGAAACTGAAAGCCTGCAGTGATTTTGTAAAACTTTAGCTAATCTAATGAATATATTGTCTCTAGAGAGTTGATTTTTTTTCTTTTCTTTTGGCCAATAGAGCTACTAATGCCTTTTTACAGATAAATTGTAAATTAATTCCAGAAAACATAAATTGTGCATCAACCCTAATCAGATATTTATAAAATATTACATTGAACTCATTGAACATATCCAGTTCAATCAAAAATGATTGAGGTCAGCTGTGTGTGTGTGTGTGTGTGTGTACACATATATTTCAGTAGTCTTGTTTTCAGAATTTATAATCCAAAAGACTTGATGCAAAAAAATGGATTTGAAAGGAAGAAGAGAAAATACTTGTTTCTGTATGAATTGCAAAAGAAACACAAACTCCCTAAATTTAAAACATAAATGTAGTTCTATGCTTAGATCCTGTCATCTTGATATTAGTATCAGCTGCACATAACCAGCCATATGAAAGTAGACAAAAGTATATTAGAAAAGTTGTTAGAATTCAGATTTGTAAATGGTTTTGTTCCTTTGTTATTCTTTCTCCAAAATGTTTAAAAATATACAAATAATGGGTTTTAATGAACTTACCATGCTTTTCCTTTGATTATTTGCAGTGCTCAGTCTCCAAAATATCTATAATTTTGTAACTATGTGCCCTTAATTATCGAAGAATGAAATCTTTAAAAAGTTGATTAACCTCCCATGTTTGAAAAGAGAGTATTACCTGGAGAGTGTTTGAATTTAAATAGCTGGAATTAAATAAAGTTGACAGAGCAGTGAGTTTGATAGTTTTGTTTTCTTCTGTTCTAGAACAGATAAAAATGGAGAAGTAAAGAAGACATTAATCCCAGGGAGGAAGCTAATAACAAAAGCATATAAGAATCTTGAAGGATAATGACATATCATGATGAGAAAGGTCAGAATAGTGAAAGGCATTATCTTCCAGTGGTAAGATATGGCTGTTAAAAATGGACAGAGAGAAAAAGTTAGAGAAATTAGACTGTTGTCAGCCCTTTGAAGTAGGCAAGGTCAAGAAATAGAAGCAGCAAGAATTTCAGGAATGCTCTTTATTGTGGTAAGGTAGCCCAACAAAATCTTCAAAGCCTTTCAGTTTCACTCTACCACATTTTATGAGAAACAAAATCAAGGCAGGGTTATTATGAGTTTCTTTCTCACGCTTTCCTTTTCCCAGGGCTGAGTAATTTTTTCTCCTCCCTTATTGGTTCATAGCTCGCTTCTTCCTACTCAAGCCAGGTCTACATACTTTCACATCTACTTTGAATTATTGATTTTGAAATGGAACCAAGTGTATCATGGACTGCAAGAATAAACAACCAATTGATCTATAAAGCCTGACTCTTCCTTGAGGCGATAATCAGCAAGCAGAAACTTACATATTTGGAGCATCTGACTGGATGATGAATGATGGATTAGCAAAAAATTATTACGCTGAGCCAAGTTGAGGAAATAGAAGAAAGAGAGTACGACAGATAAATTGGATAGATGGGATCAAAGAAATTATTGGAATGTCTGGGGAAAAGCTACACGTGATTACTAAAAGCAGGTCAAGACAGAGAGCATCTGTCTGTACAGTCACTGGAATGAAACCTGATTCTGTGGCTGTTTCTTATATTTTAACCTCTTCTGAAGTTAACATGATGAAAATTTAAGGCAATATTCTTATATTGTAAATGAGCTGTAATTTGCTTTAAAAGTAAGATCAAGTAATTACATTCAGCAAACCAGAACGCTTCCTGTAGGTATATATGAAAAGACGTGCTGGTTTACAGGCTGTGACAAGCTATTTTTCTTCAAAGAACAGTATAATGACTCAGTGGTGACTTATTTCACATGACTGCTTATGCAGAAGTTTTTTTTCCCAAAAAAAACCTTAATGTGTGGTAATCCTTAGCATGACAGTGTGGGAGGTTGTTTTAATTAAGCCTAGTATGCTATATTTTTAGCATGAAGATTAAAATATATTGATATTCAGAATTATCCTCTTTTAATGGGTCTCTGTTTCTTGAAATAAGTATGAGAGAAACTGAGTGACCATAGCATCTGGCCTTTCTGGGAGTTTGACATTTCTACCTTTTGCTCTCCTTTTCCAAGCTGTGATACAGCTGTTTGTTCATACTGGGGCAGGACTATAAAGACATTATGGCAGTGTTGTCCAATATAGCTGCATGTGTCTTTATTTTAAGCCAGGGGCTCTCAAATTTTGGGATATCACAACCCCTTAAAAGGAATTTTGCAACCCTTTATGAATAAAACTAATGGTTTCACTGGGGAAATATACTACTGTACTTTTGATTGTATTTACGTATATGTATACGTGTGAAAATAATCTTCTCTAATGTGAATAATAACATAAAAAATACAAATTGTTGGTGATGTACAATTTCTTTGTGCCTCAGATAAGGAAGCAGGTGGAAAACTCATTGATAAGCTTAGTAATGCTCAGAAGTCTAAGCTAAATTATGGTGCCTCAGGCACTTTTTTAAAAATTGTGATAATTTGCTAAGTTGCTTATGACTCTATGATTATGCCTTGCAGTTTGAGAATCTATGGTTTAAGACATATGAACTCTGGCTTGGGGCCACACAACAGGCAAAGCCATTGTTTAATTATGGTTTGTTAACTAAAGCTAAATTGTCTCCGTTAACACAAGACCCTAAGTCAGAACGAAACCACATTTTAATTTAGTGAGAACAGGCCTCTCATGGTCTACATAGTGTGTCCCAGAATGTTAATGTCACTTAACAAAGCCATTCTATACCCAAATATTCTAGCACTTGGAATAGTAGAGCTTTTTAATTCTAAAACATCTTCAGGCAACTATTTTGATTTTCATACTTCATTTCCAGCAGCATAGCTATGCACTGCACAAGACAAATGGAAGCATTTTCTGTCAGAGCAGTTAGTGTGGTTGAACTAGTTTATACTATTCCATTCTTAACTCAAAATACAATGTCAGCCCATATTTTTGACACTAACTTAGTTTGCTTAGTAGTGTGCTCCTCCAAAATACATGGTAAGATTTTCATTAGGCAACATTTAAAACATTTCATTATTTGATAGTATTACAGATAGTCTGTCTGTCTTAAGATGAGTACAGCTAATGAAAAATGACACCATCTTGGGGTATTTTTATTTATTGTGAAAGTATATTCTAAGTTCTGAGCTGACTGATACTTATATAGTAGAATAGATAACGTTAACACTGATCACATATATTTTAATTACTTTGTGCCTTGGGAAATCTTTTAATATCAATATGCTTTAGGTTGAAGGTGGGTATGGGTAAAATAACTGTGAAGTCATTGTATAAGCAAACAACAAAAAAAGCACTCGCCTCATTATTGTGGGACAGAAAATGAGTGACATCAAAGACATAAGAAATTATTACATTTATACCAGTAAAAACAATTTTAAGACATCTACAAACAAGGTATTTTGTTAAGAGACTTGGATGATCACATGTTAACAACTGTGGTTGAATAAGATTTGTGTTCCTTTATGAAACTGTTACTTCTTTTTTTGTGGATTGTATTATACAATTTATAGTTCTGTCAATGGTGCATTAAGCTTCTGTAGTAAACAGCGTTCTGTGCTTCAACCAACAATTAGGTGGAACTCTACTTATGTTATACAATGTTGTAGGTCCTCAGCTGAATGTGATGGCTCAGAATTGATGTTGGAAGATGTACATTCAGATGATGAAATGATGCCAAGAGATATGAACAGCTCTGATGATGATGATGATGATGATGATGATGATGATGATGATGATACCAATTCAGACTCCAGTAAAGGGGAGTCTGATGCACAGGAAAACAAGCAGGTAAGACTGCTAATATTTACTTGCATAAACTATTTCCACATAAGTCCTTAGAGAGTATCCTAACACTTGTAAAAAATGAAAGCAATAGAAAAAGAGTCTTCCATGACTTCTTTGATTAGAGAAAAGACAATATCTACATTTATTAGGGACTGGAAGCCCCTCATGGATTTTTTGTGTTAAAATAAAAAAAATGAACTTGTGATTTATGGTTTTGATGATTAGACAGGATAGATTATAGAAAGAAGAGAATCATGATGTACCTTTAGAGAGAGAGGTTAAAATGTAATTATAACTGCTGTGAAGAATATTGGAAGCCACGTCTTTATGTATTTATATCTTTCTTTATATCTTTCTTTTTTTCTATTTTCTTATTGCACTTTTAGCTTTTTTGTTCTTTCTTTCTTTCTTCACTTTTTCTATTCTAAATTAGTTTGCTGTAGTTCTTATTATTGTTCTTAAAACTTTTAATAAAAATTATATAAAGAAAAAGAGTCTGCCAGATGATGGCTAGATGCTATTACTGATATCATGAACATGAACTTACAAGAACTAAGAGAAGGAATTACTGACAAGACAATCCTGGCAATCTGATGTTTGTTTATTTATTTAAAAGATTTATAAGTCTGCCCATCTTAAGAAACACAACTCTAGGCAGCTTTCAACAGTTGAATAAAATCAAACATTATAAAAAAAAAATAAAACCAAAAAAACCTGGTGCCATCTTTGATGGAGCCATCATCATTCCTTTCAGGCTCTAGCCCTGTCCAAATGCTTAGAACAGCCAGCTCTTCATAGTCTTCTGAAAGGCTAAAAGGGTGCTGGATCCTGGGGGAAAGGGTCTTCTACAAGGCAGGGGGTGTCATGAAAAAGGCATGCTTCCTATATCCAATTAGATGGCAAAATTTAAGGGAAGGGACCTGGAATGTGCCTATTTTATCTGATCTGGTGGAATGGGCAGATAACCTCAGGGAGAAGCAGTCTCGCAGATAACCTGGCCCTCTGCCATGTAGGAGTTTCAAAGTGATAACCAGCACCTTGAATTGCACCTGGAAAAAACTGGGAGCTAGTGCAGCTTACACAACCAAGGTGTAACATAAGCAGACCTAGGGGCACCCAACATTGTGCCATTGCCACACTCTGGACCAGTTGTAAATTCTGGGTGGTCTTCAAGGAATGCCCCACATACAGCACATTGCAGTACTCCAACCAGGAAGTAACCAAGGAGTAAGTGACCATAAGCAAGGCTTCCCCGGTCCAGGAATGGGTGCAGTTGGTGCACAAGATGAATATGTGCAAAAGCCTCCCTAGCCACAGCTGCCACCTGCTCCTTGAGCAGGAGCTGTGAGTCTAGGAGGACCCCCAAACTGTATACCAGCTCTGTCTGGGAAGTGCTATCCCATCTAGAATCAAAGATCACCAAACTCTGGGAGCCTACTCCATCTTTCCAGGGTTGAGTCAGGGCTGATTCTTCCTCATCACAGCCATCAGCCGTAGGTCAGCACTGCACCATGTTCTTTGTGTCACAAAGAGTTGGACTGAGTGACCAAACAACAAAAACCTATTTCCATGCTATCTTTGACAAATTCTTAGGGTAACTAAAAATAATAAAATAAAAACAACAACAACAAAACACCCAAGTAAAACAGTATTTATTGGAAACTAGAATAGTGGATGAAATTGACTACTGTAAAATCAGTACCATATTGTAGATAAATGACATTTATCCTTGAAGTTATACTCTTTTTTTGTCTCCATCCAATCCTGAATGTAGTCCTGGTTTTTTTTAGCTCTCCTCCTATAAAAAGCCCAGCTGACCTACTTCCTGCAAATAACTGATTATTGAATTCCTCTTGCTAGAACGTTCCTCTAAATCTACTAAAGTTTTAGAAGTCAGTCATAATTGTAAAGCTGTTTCTCTTTCCCAGGACATAACATATTAACATTCATAGAATTTAAGGCTTAATTGGCAAGCAACTTCTTTCTTGCCTCATCTAGCCTGCTCCCATATCACATCTAGTAGTGGAGAACACGTTGTCTAACAATTCGCTTCTTTCCTGAGAGTTAAAAAAAAATGTCTGTAGCTTTAAATGAAATCAGAAGTGGCTTGCTTATGCTTATGTATCTCAACCTAATCAAAAATATCAAATCTTGATTACTTCCTATTGTACATACTTATTGCTATGTACATGTTTTGCTCAACTTCCAAAATACTTTCCTTCCTGAAGTAAGTTTTGGATTATACAGATAAATAAAAAGCTATCTGTTGTGATGTTTACTTTTTTATTAAACCATAGCACTAAGGAAATATTCTAATATATACTAGAACAAAGGAGTGCCAAAGGAGTGCCAAAACTTGGTGAATGAGTTGTGTACATTTCCCTAAGAAGAGTATTTTAAAGATATAAGGACACAACCCCAAAAGCCTTAGTCTCTAGTCTGCTGGTAAAAGCTGCTAGGTTAATACTTTTACCAGTGGACCAGAAAATAAGTCTCTGGATAATGAATTTAAAGTCCAAACAGGTACATATGATTGAATATATTTCAAATGTTTTTAGAGTATAGTTTTATTTTTAAGTTCTTGTGTTGACTAGTTTTATTCCACACTTTGTTTTTAAACCAATGTCATGTTGCAGAATGTATACCTATAAATGCTTAGTGAAGCAAACATCATTTGACTATACTCCCAGTAAGCTTTAGACATTTGGAGAGGAATGCTCTCGTTATTGATCCATAATTATAGAATTAACTTTACCCTGACTCTAGGAGTTTTTAATTTTGCTCAACAAATAACAAATTCAATTTTTAAGGCAGGTCCTGACACTTTATACTGAATATGTAGAAATGAAACCAGCTGTCAATTAACTGAATATTAATCTGCATATAGAAATTATGCACTTGAATATAAGCAATAGAACTATATTCAACAGCATTACAGAAGAAATTTTATGTGTAAAAGAATTGGATCCAGTGCTACTGCTTTTTTTTTCCTATTCCAATGTTGCTTTTTTAATATTTGATTTTATTTTTAGATTAAAGCAGCTGGAAAGAAAACAAAGGTTTATCATATTGCTAAAGAAATAATGAGCTCAGAGAAAGTGTAAGTATCTGTGTGGTACTTAATTAAGTTTACTTTCCCTTCCCTTTCCCTTTCCACTGATATATTTTTGTTCTTCTTTTGGTAATAGGTTTGTGGATGTTCTAAAGCTTCTGCACATTGTAAGTATTTGATTACACCTTTATAAGCATATTTTTAGTTAGAATTTAATCATCTCTGTAATTCTTTAAAAAATTGTCTTAAACTAGGAATGCTATAATGTTCCCCTTTGCAAATGGCCAAATCGCATGGAACTTTGCTAACAAGTTAAAACAGAAAGGATGTAACCAAGATGTTTGACCCAAATGCTATAAATGTTTTTGGATTGTAGACTGTGCTGAGTCCTGTTTTGAAATAGAATATTTTTAGGTCTTTGGATTAAGAGCTAAAAATGCTGAAAATAAGCACAAGATAGGCAGATTGGAATTCATATACATTCCCAGAAAGGCTAAAATGTAGTAGAACAAGAGGTCTGTTTTTGACATCTGAACGTTCTTCGTTTGTGTGTACATAGATGAACCTTCATATACTAAGAAAATATAATGTAACTGTAATATTGATTTAATGTAGTCACAGTTGTGATCCATGAGCCATGGAGTCAGTTTTATAGGACTGTGTGGAAACTTAGCTTTTTGATAGATTCATACAATTAAAGGAGAGTAGAACATAATATCTTTAAATGCTGCATTGGGAGCAAATGCTGCATATTGTTATTCAACAGTGGAATATCGAATAGTAAATGATATTTTATTATCTATTTTACTCTTACAATGTGTAAGCTTTATTGTATATGCATTAAAAAAAACAATCAAACTGGAGGTGGAGAAATATGCAAGGAGATTTGAATAATCTTGTAGCGTTCATTTTAACTAGGCTTTTAAGTAACTGTTTTTTTCCCTGAACATATTCAAGTATTACCAAAAGTGTGTGAGCTTGACTTGCTAGGAAGCTAGGTTTAAAGCTGACTGTTCAGGTTTTTCTTTTCATTTGGCAATCAAAGTTCAGAGGCCAAGGCTGCTTGACAGATCAGAATTTCTTAATTTTTTGCCTGTCATCTGTGAAATCCAAAAAACCTCCACAAAATATAAAGCAAAGCAAAGACTCTACCCACTATATTCCTTTATATTTTGAAGGGTAATGCTAAAAGCCATGAGGTTTTTAAATGTATTTTTAAAGTAACCTCGATCTAACTTTTTGCTTGTGCAGGTGCAGAACATTAGGCTTCATTAATATGATCACTATGAAAAATGATGGAGTAGGAACCTGTAGCTTTACAGAATAGGCTGCTAAAAATTTATATTCCAAAGTGAGAGCTCTACCCAGTCCTTCTTTAAAAAGATTTTCACATAGCACTTTTGTTTAAATCCCTTTATCTTTCTTATTGTATCATTCTATAAATTGCTTCCTGTTCATCTTTAGATATATAGTCCTGGCTGCATTAGGAATTCCTGACAAAATGCTCAATTTCACAAGCAGCAAGTAAATGAAAATTTAGAATTTGGGCCGACAGACACTGGTTAAAAAAGGATTCCTCTGGAAACCACTTTGTGCTTGTTAACTCCCCTGATATTTGGGTAGCTGTTATCTGGGTAGCATGGCAGGTGTATGGGTGAGGAACATATGATGTCAGATAAGTCCAGTGCTTTTTTTATGTACCAAATTTATGAGGCTGCCCAAATTCTAGATGGCGTACAACATTAAAAACAGTAAGAATCAATATATCAAAGAAAAGAACATTTTCCAGAATTACATTTTTTTTAATGGACATGTGCTTTCTTACGATGATATCTGCATATAATGTTGGAGTGATAATCTGCATATCAGAATCTAGTGTGACTAGGCAATGGACAGGAGTGCTTTATACCTTAAAAGAAGAACATTTAAGATTTCCTTTCATGAAAATTCTCTGATACAAACATCTTCTATTTAAATATTGTCATTAGAGCATGTTTCACTGTTACAGAAGTAGTGTTTGCTGAGTGCCACATGCACTAAATTTAGGATGACTTATCGGAGCATTATAGGTCACTTTTGAAACTGTTCCAAGACCAGTTTCCAGCTGACAGCAGAGTACGTGTATGCTGATGATCAGCAGAAATAGAACTACACTGTGTGAATTATTTGACGGTAGCAATAAATACGTTAGAGTGCTAGCAAAAAAAACCTGATCACCAAAAAAGGATTATTTATTTAACACAAAGGGCTGTATATTGCACAATCTTTTGAAAGACTCGTTATGTATTTAACTGCTGTATATAACAGCTGAGAGACATGCAACATTATAGTTTTGCTTAGCTTGACAATATAGTGGAATCACTTTTTTGCATGTTTTTCTGTGTCATTGTGTTTAGATGACAGTAGATTTGGATTCCATGTAATGGACTGTGAAGAACTTGTGATGGTTTTTTATCTGTCTTACTGAAAAGCTATTTTTCTTCTAATCTTTTGTAGAACAAAGACCATATAACCTCTAACATTTGTATCAGTGAATCAACAGATGCACAGATAGAATTTTGGGTGTTCAGGGTTTTTTCCTCTTTTTGCTTAGCTGGAACATTTGTGGGAAGCATTCATGAGTTATTTTCTTTTGGGGGCTAAGTGGAGAGGAGGCGTAATTATTGTGTGACTTAAGCCAGAAGAGCTACACTTCAGTGTTGTTTGTCTTTGACTGGTCCATGTTCATGGGTAGTTGTGTTCTAGATTGAGGCATAAGTGTATTCAAGAGTGGGGCATAATACATGGAGAGTGCATACATTCCCAGCATTTTTCCCCTAGCATTTTTAAACATTCTGTTAATATTATGCAAATTAAATGTTGCTTACACCATTAGGTTCCATATGGGTTCTATTAGCAATAGCAGTTACTTGGCTTATTTCTGTGTATGTGAAGGCCATAAACCCCCAAGGATGCAAAAAAGTTAGTTAAATGTTGCCAGTTGGCTCCCATGATATGAATACATTGTATTTCCATATGAATAAAGCCATCTGTTTTAACTGGAATCTAATGTCCTTTAGGCTTTAATACCAACAGGCAGCCCTCCCCATTCCATCTTTAGGTCATGTAATGTTAAAGGAGGCTACAATAAACTAAAGAAAAGCAGGCAAGCCTACTCATACTCATTTCTCCAATGTACTGTTGTTTTTTTTAATTGTATATAAGCCAATGTTTCAAACAGCTGTGCATCTGTTTATATAATTACTGTACCTTATTTGCATTTGTACATTACTAAGCATAACCATTACTTGGATTATGAAAGTGAATTTAATTTAACCATGCAGTGAAAAGGAAAATAGGAGTCAGGGAGTCTGTTACATTCTCCTTTGACACATGAGAAATGTGATGGGGGGGGGACAGGGGAATGGGTTGGGGGTGGGGGAGGGA